TATAATGCTATCATATACCCTCTGAGGCACCGTTTCTCCAAACTAAACAGATTTAGATTTATTAACCTTTCTTCATAACTAAAATGCTCCATTCCTTTTATTAATTTTGTAGCCCCCCTCTGCACTCTGTCCAGTGCCAGAATACTTCCTGAAGTTTAAATGGCAATCCAGACGTGACCCCTTGCTCACGGTGCCTAGAGGGATATTGGCTATAACTCACTGATGATACCTTACAAAGTTGAAACGATCGTCTTGGGTTGCTGTATCTCTCGTGCAGAGGCATTTCGGATCTGGACTGCCCGTGCGGGTGGGACCAGTTTGATATGCTGCAGATATGTTCTCTTTGTAAGGGCACAAAATGAGCTAAAACCAGCTTGAGATCTGAGTGGGGACCCACCGAAGGGCAGGTTAATTGAGCTGTTGCCCGTTCTCACCTCTCTTGCTACATGTCTTTCTACCCTTCTTTAGAACAGGTGCCCCAAATTACACAGCAATTTGTGGTCTTACCAGTGATTTATATACATTCTCATCTTGGGACCAGTTTGATATGCTTCAGATATGTTCTCTTTGTAATGGGACAAAAAGGAGTTAAAACCAGCTTGAGATCTGAGTGGGGACCCACCGAAGGGCAGGATAATTGAGCTGTTTTCCGTTCTCACCTCTCTTACTAAATGTCTTTCTACCCTTCATTAGAACAGGTGCCCCAAATTACACAGCATATTCAATTTGAGGTTTTACCGGTGATTTACATACATTCTCATCTTGGGAATTAATGCCCCTATTTATACATGACAATACTTTACTGGACTTAGCAACTGCAGATTGGCATTGGATATTGTTGCCTTGTTTGTTGTCTATAACAATTCCAAAATCCTTCTTGTGTGTTATTATCCCTAATTCACTACCATGTAGGGGTAAGTTACTTGTGCATTCTTTACCCCGAAGTGCATAACTTTTTCTACATTAAATTTCATCTGCCATTTTAGTGCCCAGTCCCCAATCTAAATCCCTCTGCAGCAACGCAATATCCTGCTCACATTGTATTACTTTACAGAATTTTGTGTCATCTGCAAGCACTTAAACATGGCTTTCAATGCCTATTTCAAGATCACTTATAAATATATTAAATAGAAGTGGACCCAGAACAGATCCCTGAGGGACACCATTTACCACTTTTGTCCAGCTTGAAAACTTACCATTAATGACAACTCTCTGTAGTCTATCTTTCAGCCAATGTTCTACCCAAAAACAATAATTATTTTTAAAGTTACACAATGTCAAGTTTCACTGGGGATTTCCTGCCTCTGTAAGAGTTTGTTGGAACGGTGTATGGTAAATTTTTGATACAGTAGAAAACCTGAGAAAATGTTATCAACAAAAAAAATTGGGACTAACATGTATCATAATCAATATTTACTAAGAAAGAGGAAAACAAATAGAAAAAAGGGAAAAGAGGGGAAAGTTGTTTTTTTTTATATAGATTAATCACTAATCACGACTCTTTATGGGCTTTAGAGGAGATTTAAGATGAAAAGTTTGAGAGAGGTTCAAAGATATTGACAATTTAAAGTTTAATATTTACTTAGATAGAGGGAGGTTTTTCACGAAACAAGATATATGTTTAGAAGGAGGAGCAATATTTCAAAGGATTATATACAGGGAAATAGAAATATCGAAATAGTCACTAGGATTTTGAATATTGTGGCCGGTTTTGCAAAACAGTAAAACATTTTGTTGCAGAGTTCAGAGAGCACACAAAATAAATGGATTAAGAGATGTTTAACACAGTCAAACATTTATAGCTCAATATTTTACATTTACTTAGATATGTTGTGATTTTTTTTAAATTAGAGATAAAATCTCACTGATATACATAAGCTCATTGACATAAAAACACAAGCTCTCTCACTGGCAGGCACACACACACACACACTCAAATGCAAGCAAGCTCACTCACTAGCAGGCACACACACACACACACACACACACACACACACAAACACACAGCTTAATGTAGTGGTTCTGGTGTCTATAGCCTGTCCCTGCAGGCTTTTCAATGAAAACACTGACTTTTCAAAGAAAAGGCAGTGTTTAGATTGCTTCCTAGTGACACCTCTAGTGACAGTCACTCAGACGGTCACTAGAGGTGCTTCCTGTGTCAGTGCTGCACAGTGTTCAGCACCTACATTCAGAGCCTCCACGCTCTGGAGGTGCTGAATGTTCCCCATAGAGATACATTGATTCAATGCACCTCTATGAGGAGATGCTGATTGGTGTAGCATTTTGCAGCCAATCCTATGGCAAAGCATTGACTGAGCTCATAAAACTTGATGATCTCAGCCATAGAGGCAGGGCCAGTCGAGAGGAGACCAGCATGGTGTTGGGAAAAAAAAGTGAGTAAAAACACTATTTTTAAACACACACAGACAAACGCATACACCATGACAGACACAGACACACACATATACCATGACAGATACACACACACACACACACACAAACACCATGACACACACATATACCATGACAGACACACACCATGAAACACACACACCATGACACACACACCATGACACAGACCCACACACACACACCATGACACCAAGGCCGGACTGGGGATACAAAGCAGCCCTGGAAAAAAAATTTGTGCCAGCCCCATAAGTCACTGCGCCATATATTGTCGCGTGTAATATGCAAGGCTATGTCTTGCCAGGACAGATGATGGAGTAATATATATATATATATATATATATATATATATATATATATATATATTTATATATATATATATATTGCTTTTTCTAATATAAAATATTGGTCCTTTCAGGGTAAAACGTTTAATTATACAGTAAGCATACGCACATGCAGACACAGGCAATTTCACTGACATTTCAGTGACACACACAAGCTCATTGATACACACACACACACACACAGCTTAATGTGGTGGTACTGGTGTCTATAGCATGTCCCTACAGGCTTTTCAACGTAAACACTGACTTTTCAGAGAAAAGGCAGTGTTTACATTGCTTCAAAGTGACATTGCTAGTGACAGTCACTCAGACGGTCACTAGAGGTGCTTCCTGTGTTAGTGCCCTCCCGCCCTCGCGCGCTGCTGAATGAGAATGGCGCCGGAATATGACGTCATATTCCGGCGCCAGTCTCATTCAGCTGCGTGCTGGGGAGCAGAGGCAGCGCAGCTCGCGCAGCTCCCTCAGCGGCCGCCAGGACAAGTCCGCCAGCGGCCGCCAAAAGACCTCCCCAGCGGCCAGGGGAGGGCTGGCAGCCTTAGGCCTGGGTGGCAAAACCAGTCAAGTAGACTGGTGCACCTGCCCAGAATCAGAGCCGGTTCAAGGATTTTGCCACCCTAGACAAAATAAAAATTTGCTGCCCCCACATGTCACATCACAATGCCCCACCCATATGACCTGCCATATGAACTAACGCCAGTGCTGCACACAGTGTGTGTTTACATTAAAAAGCCTGCAGGGACCAGCTATAGACACCAGAACCACTTACAGCTTATAGTGTCCCTTAATGGTAAAATTTGTGTTAGTGCTCATTTACAGGCTACGCTTACTTATAAAGGTGATGAGGATGATGATGGGCTGCAGTTTGGCTCCACTGGTCTGGTGTGTATTCAGGATCTTCTGGAGGCTGTTTTGCAAACTGTGGTCACAAAATTCAATGTTCTGGGAGAATTAGCAGTCAATTTTTTGTGTCTACATGCTCAAGGTCTGGGCCCCAGGGCCTGACGCAGAGTATGCCCATAAGGCTCACTATGTTCCACCTACCCATGAGTTCGCTCACAGGGAGTGGAGTGTGTAGGGGATGTGTTATTGTAGAGGATCTAATATGTGTGCTTATGGTATGTAGTGTTTAGGGTTGCCAGTTTGTGCAGGTGATGCAGTGTGTTTGTGTGTAGTGGAAGCAGTGTGTATTTGTGTATAAGGGATGTATTATGTGTTTCTGGTTGTGTGTAAGGGATGCATTGTGTGAATCTGTGTTTGTATGCATAAGGGATGCAAGGTGTGTGTCTGTATGTGTGTGCATGAGATGCATTGTGTTTCTGTGTGTATGTAAGAAAAGAAGTGTGTGTTTGCATGCGTGTGTACGGGTTTGCATTGTCTGTTTCTGTGTATGTGTGCAAAGGATGCATTGTCTTTGTGTGTAAGGGTTGCATTGTGTGTGTGTGTGTGTGTAATGGATGCATTGTGTGTTT